GGATAAAAACTAGCTAGCCATTTTGGAAGATTGTTCTAATTAACCTCTACTTACTATTCAAAGTCAGTTTCAAAAAGACCAAATATTTGAATACAAACCATCATGAGAGTAAATAAATTCATTTTGGTTCTTAACATAATCTTTGATTTCTAAGCATGACAAAAAAATCTAAAAGCAATAAAGTATCTAATTACACAAAATTCAGTGTGGCAAAGCATACATACACAAGTGAAGTGAAAGACAAGTAACTAGTTAGAAAACAGTCACAGTACACAATAAAGGATTAATCTTCTTAATGCAGAAAAATCTCTTAACAAATTAAAATCAATAGCCAACGAATAGGGAACAAAAATGAGCGAAAGATATAAACAGGAATTTTGAAGAGAAAAATACACAGTCAAGCAGAGATGGTGATATATGCCTTTAATTCCAGCACTTGAGAAGCCATGACGGGAGGATCCCTGTGAGTTCAAGGACAGCCCAAGCTACATAACAAGCTCAAGGCCAGCCTGACAGTGAGGCTAAAAACTAAAACTAAAAACTAAAATTAAACTCAAAACTAAAAACAAAAAAAAAGTTAATGAAAACATGGTCAATAAATTCTTAAAAAAAAACTCCCCCACATCACTGTTTTGTAGAATACATGATATACTGTTTTTCACCACTGAATTAGCAGGGGTTTTTTTAATTGATAAGCTAGATCATCAAGAGTTAGGGGAAACAGTATAGATGAGAGTATAAACTGGTATAACATTTTTGGAAGCAAATTTGGTAACATCTAAATTCGAAATGCAAAAATACTTTGACCCAATAATTTTGCCTTTAAGAATGTACTCTGCAGCCAGGGTTATGGCTCAGCAGGAGAGCACTTCCCTAGTAAGCACAAGGTCCTGATTTCAATTCCCAGAACTACAAAAAATAAAATAAATAAATAAGAATGAATGTACTCTGCAAATACCAGAACAAGTAAGCAATAATGCTAATTCAAGGATGATCTCTGTAGTGCTATTTGTAACACTGAAATCTTAAATCTCTTAGTTATTAGGGACAAATACATTAAGTATTTGTATAACTGAAATACCACACAGATATTTAAAAGAAGTATATCGAGTTGCATCAAATGAGAAGATCTCCAGATTTATTAAGTATAGAAAGCATAAAAGCAAAAGAGATCTAAATATGATTCACATGTAGGAAACAAGAATAACACGTTTAAAAGAAGAAGTGCCACACAATATGCCTTTCTGTAGTGCCTGAATTTTTCAGTGAGTAAAGTCTTTTAAAATGAAACAATTATAAGCATATTTCGGCAACTTTTAAAAATGAAAATACACCATCTTGTATTTTTTGAACAAGGACTAATGAAAGAAGAAATAGCTCCAAAGTATTTATCATGAGGACAAAGACTGAGACTTTAAATCTACAAAAGTAACAAATGAGCAAAACAATCACAATTGGTCTATAACCTTTAAAAAGCTGTATACACTTGCTACACATGATGGCACATGCTTGTATTCCCAGCACTCAGGAGGCTGAGGCAGGAAGACTGCTGAGTTCAAGGCCAGTTTGAACCATACACAGAGACCCTGTCTTGAAAGAAAGAAAGAAAGACAGACAGAGGGAGGGAAGGAGGGAAAGAAGCTATATACAGAATTTTACAATGGAGACCCTGTCTCGAAAGAAAGAAAGAAAACAAACAAACAAAGACAGACAGACAGACAGACTAAGGGAGGGAGGGAAAGAAGCTATAACACAGAATTTATAATCATTTCACAATAATCCAGGAACTGTATGACTCAACTAGAGTTAATTTTGATTTATTTTTCTTTTATCATCACACCCATTATCAACTGTGTGGGCTGCACATGTATCTAATAAGATAATTAGCATAATTATCAGCAAATGTTTACATCATCATATTATCTTGTTTGCAATCAAGAGACAGCTGGGCATAGTGGTGCACAACTCTGATCCCAATATTTGGGGGGCTGAGGCAGGAGGATTTCTGTGTGTTCAAGGCCAGCCTGAACTACACAGCAAGACCCTTTTCTCAGAGAAGCTAAAAAAACCAAAGTTAATTTCTGGTAGAAAAATTAGTGAATTTCATGTAGATTACAACAGTCAGCTGACATCTGGAAGGGAACTTTAAAGCTACCTCAGGATCTGGAATAATGAGTTGGCAGCACAATAAACAAGAAAATAAGATCTTTGTTATGGTTTGTGTCTGGATGTCCCCCCCAAAGCCTCATAGTCATGGGGGTAGGCCTCAAGAATCTGTGATTGATTCATGGTCCAATGCTGGGATTATGCGGTGACTGGAGTGATCCAAGAGAGCGTGGCTTATTTATAAGGGACAGAAAAGAGTTTTGTTTCTGCACTCCTCCCTTTTTGCTCTTATTGTCTTTGTTGTTTTCCACTGCCATGAACTCTGCCACACCACCCTACTTTGGAGCCAGCTGATCATGGACTGAAACCTCCACAAACTGTGTGCTAAATAAACCTTTCCTTCCTTAATTTTGGGTACTGGCAACTCTGCAATGAAAAAAAATTAACTAAGACAATCTTAAGGAACATAAGTGCTAGATACTGAAACAAAATCTTATTTGCTACCCTTAGTTTTACATATGAGAGAAAAGTAACTAAGACAATATTAAAGAACGTAAGTGCTAGGTACTGAAGAAAAAGTCTTATTTTTGCTACCCTTGGTTTTGCATGAGTACTGACAAGCTGTAAGATTTGCTGAAAATCACCCACATAAATGGTTAGTCAGCCAATGACTACATACACAGTAACATTTCAAGCCCTGTCTCATGACTTCTTCCTGTCAAAAGTTGGGTGATGTAAACTTTAACAAAGCAGACACTTCTCAGAATGAAAGAGGACACTACCCAAATAAAGAAGTTTGTTGATTGCCCAGTGTAGTAGCCCATGCTCATAGTCCCCGCACTACAGAGGCTGACACAAGGGACTCACTGAGAGTTCCAGGGAAGCATGGACTATATACTAAGTTCAAAGTCAGCCTGAACTACATGGCAAGCCCCTAATACAAAAAAAATTTTTTAAATAAAGAAGTATGTTGAAAATATAAACGAAATAATTATATTGGGCAAAGATGAAAACTGAGTTCAAATTAGAAAAATTAGGACATAAGGTAACTTATGTCCTAATTTGTAATTATTAAGTTACAAAGCACAGATTAAAAATCTAAGAATTATGAAACACAAATTTAATGAAAATTAAGTCTCCAAAGGTTTTTTCAGCAGTGATTTTCAATCATCTATACCAATCAGTACTATCTAGCAAGTTCTTTCAAACCTTACATCTGGGTCCTCCCAGGAAGATTTTGATTCACTTCAATGGGGTCCAAGAATTGGGTCCAAGAATTTGTTAGAGGATAATCTCATCCATAGGTGATGTTCATACACCCCAATCGAGAAGTGCTACAATAAGTTATGCCTTGTCCATTAGCTTGAATATGAATCACCTGGGACACTTAGTAAACTAAAATTATCTTTCAATGAATAAGGTATTTCTAACAAGCTTCTGGATGGGCCTATTTAGCAGGCCACAATGATTGGCCTGATATCCTTCAAATCTTGTTACTCAAAGGTCACATTTTACCTATCCATTGAATGTTCAAACTGAAAATATGTTAAAGTGAGTAGAGAAACACATCTTTCTCAATGAGCATTAGTTATATTAAGCCAGAGTGGGTGACACAGCCTATGGCACTTCTAAATTTAAGCTAAACAATGTAATTTTTAACATCCGAACTGAAACTGAAACCAATGAAAATTTAATGAACTTAAATAAGGAATATTGAACATACACAGAAGTTCAGAGTAATTTAAAAAGCTTGTGTTCAGTTGGGATATAAAGAGATCATATGTGAGGACAGAAAGTTTCAAAAAGAAAACTTTTTCTGTCTCCAAGAATTGGACAGAAAAATAAACAGAAAGCTTCTGATGTGTAGGAACCTAAACAAAGGAGTCAATTTAAGTAAACACTAAGTCCCATGAAAAGAAAATGTTTCTCTCCAATGTTTGCTTTTTTGCACAAATTTCACTTTTTATGTCACATTAGAATTTATCTTTTGCAATATAAATATCATAAGCAGCTATTAAGAGTCTAATTACTAAACTTCATTATGCCAATATGGTGGGATCAAGCTGCTGATTATTATAATTAAATTTATGTAGGAAAAGCAAAAGAAGTTTCAGGATGCCAAAGACATCTGTCTCACACAATTCCACCCCTATTTGTTAAGCAAACAAGGTTCAAATTGCAAATGCCTGTTGAAATAAAACCTAGACAAATATTGCAAAAATAAATATTCTGATGGTGACATAAGAGTTACATTTACAAATCTATCACTCTTAATCAAAAGTCTTAGTAAACCTTAACAAGTACTATGTCATTCTTTTTGTATTTTTGTCCTAAGGAAACCTGGATATAAGATAAAATTCCCTTCTCTCTCTCTCTCCTTCCCTTTACCCCCCCCCCACTAAATTTATACCTCATTAATAACTATGTTAGGTAACTTGCTATTTACTCAATTTTATTCACTATATCTAATGAGAGTAATTAGTAATTTCATTATGAGATTATTATACTTATAAATTGTATACTTATTTATAAAAATGTCATTATGTATATGATTTTAGGAGTTTGTTTTTTCATTTACCTAACATGGAGCTACATAAAGTCAAATACATCAGTAATGATCACCGCTATAGCTCCAGTATAAACAATAACTCAAATTTTAGATATTATTAGTAGTAATAATTTGGTAATATTTAGGCAGTTTAGGCAGTTGAATGAAAGAATAATGTTTAAAACAACACTCAACTATATTTAATAAGAAAGGATTTATGTTCTAATTTCTTTTTTACCACATACATAAAACTATCACTACTCATAATAAACAGAACTAAAGAGATGGCAATCTCTGGCCTAGAACATTGAAATTATTCATCATTCAGAAAAATTTAAAACCTCACCATTTCTAAGTGCTTCTAAGGACTCCTCTGGAGAGTTTCGTTGGTCTTCATCCTTCTCAAGATTTTCACTGGCCTTTGACAGTCGCTTTCTTGGAGACATCTCTTTACCCACTATTGAGCTGTCAAGAAGAAAAGATGTAAAAAGCATTGAACAATAGCTAGAAAAAAAATTCTGTTTTTTTGTTTTTGAGACAAGGTTTTGATATATATATATAGTTCAGACTGGCCTTGAACTTGAGGTGATCCTCCTGCCTCAGTCTCTAAGGTACAAAACTACTTAATGCCTGTACTGTATGATTGACTTTGCAGGTCTAAAGCCAGTAGTCTGAGCATCTACTTATAGGATAACAATATGCAATACAGCAACTATGGGAGATTTTCTTCTTTCTCATGCTTTGAAATTCAATATTGTTCTCACTACTTTATTTTGCTGTTTGTTTTTGCTTTATTCAATGTTTTGTTCTGATTGGTTTTATTTTGTCCTGTTTTGATTTTATTATGTCTGATGGTATAAGCAGCAATTCTGAAGAGGCATTATGGTAGCAATGGTTGATTTCCTATTGCCTATCTGGAAGTCCTATATCACTTGGACTGTTTTATTTTGATTTACTTTATATTGTTTTATTTTGTTTGGTTTTATTCTCTGTATATTTTGGTTACTGTGCTAGCCTACAAATGGGGAAAAAAGTATCAATAAAATTAATTTTAAAAAGAAAAGTTATGTATGCAACTAGTTTACATGAATTTCTGAATACCAGCACTATGTTTAAGAGAGGATAACAACGCCAGGGATTTAGCTCAGCGGCAAAAGCACCTGCCTTGCAAGTGTGTGGTCGTGAGTTTACTCCCTGGTACCCACCCCTCCAAAAAAAAAAAGAGAGTTTAACAAGTACTGACATACTATCTTCCTTTTGTTTTACTTTAATCAGCGCAAGCATTTTCTGAGTACAAGATACTGTAGCAGAGCTGAAAAAATTAGCCTCTATGATATAATAGCTGGTTTCAAAGTCCCTTTTTAGACATAGCCCCTATCTTTTTTTTCAATCTTTTTGAGACAGGGTCTCTCTATGCAGTTTAAGCTAGCCTTGAGCTCACTTTGTAGCCCATGTTGGTCTGCTGGTCTCAGAACTTGCAAGGATCCTCCTGCCTCCACCTCTCCAGCACTGGGATTACAGACACGTTCCTTGTTTCTTTTTTTTTTTTTTTTTTTTTTTTTGTTTGTTTGTTTCTTTTTTTTTATTTAAGAGGAAAAAGAGAAAAACACAAAACAAACCAAAGCGGCGTAAGGGTACACGCAATACAGAACTACAAAAAAAACAAAACAAAACAAAAAAACGTAACAGTAAGAAATCACCTGCTAGTAGATTACACACTATCTTCTTGAAAATAGTTCCTCAAATCACAGTATCAAAGAACACAAGGTGGACATTCAAACAGGGAGACTGCAAACAGCTGTGTTCAATGTTCCAAAAACATTGATAAAGTCAGCTATTTAACATCCTTGTTTCTTTTTTTAAGAGCATATCAGTAATACAGAATACTGAAGTTCATCTTGGGAAATTAGTGCATAACACATTTTGATCATTTTCAGTGATCTCCCTTTTCACACCCCCTCGCTCTTCTTCCATTCATAAAGTCTATTTTCTAGTTTCCTGTCATCTCTCCCTTACTTTACTTTTTAAAGTTTCTCATATGAGAAAAAAACATGGTATTTAATTTTCTGAGTCTGGCTTATTTTCCTTAACATAACAATCTCTATTTTCCTGAGAATGACATGATTTAAGTTTCCTTCATCCTAATCCCCATTCTTAAAGAATTTTTTAATTTAAAAAATAAAGCAATGAATACACATAAAAAAATTAAATAGCAAATGATAACAAAGATGCCACAAGGTAGAGTAAGATTAATAACCAAGACAATTGTAAAACAGTACCTTAAGTTCAAAGATAGGAGAGATTCAGTAAAAGATACAAATACAGAAAAGGTATTTAGGAATGATCTTGAAGAATAAAAATAGAACACTGCTAAAGCAAGGATCATATAAGTCCTTTTGAGAGGACCATAATTGGATCAGATTACTAGAGAAGAAACAAGATTTTGTTGAATATCTACTATATGTAAAGTCCCAATTGCATGCTTTGTTTTCTTGTTTAACCTTCACAAAAGTTCTGCAAAAAAAGAAAAATAAAGGCATTACTCTTTAAGTTTTCATTTGAGAAAATGGCTCAAAATAGTTACTGTCAAGCTGGGGATTTAGCTCAGCGGCATAAAGCACCTGCCTTGGAAACATTCGATCATGAGTTCAATCCCCAGTACTCTCCCCCCACCACCATCCAGTTACTATCAGTGCCCTCCACTCACGCACCAGGAACAGTAGAAGAACCCAGACAAAGATCTGGCCAGGGTAACGAGAAAGATTGCAAAGTCATCTGTGTACAAGTTGTAAAGAGCATCTAATTCTCCCAGCAGAAATGATTAGGGAATTGAGAATTGAAAACTAAATTTTGAGGGATGCAGAAAAAAATCAAGGAAGAAAATAAACAGATGTAAAGGAAAACAATGTCTCTAAAGGAAGGAATTTTACAAGGGATAACATGATACTTAAAGCAGGGACTCTTGCTGGGGATGTAGCACAGTGGTAAAACACTCGCCTGGCATGTGAAAGGCTCTGGCTTCAGTTTCCACAACAAAACAAAAAAAGTAAATAATTATTTTTTTTCCTCCTTTCTGAAGTAAATAGATTATTATCCAAGCCCTATGAGACAGGATAGTTTGGTGCAGTGTTTCTCAAAACAGTAACAGCCAGTTTTTGAGATCGTATGTTTTGTGTGAATTAAGTATTTTAAACTCAATAAAAGGCATCTGTGGAAAGCAATAGCACTGACAGTATAACATTTCTGATTTAATGAGTACCTTTTATGTATCTCCCAATCACTGTACTACTAAGCCCTTTTTTTGTTTTCTTAACCTTTATTTACAACCTTAGACAGAATTATCCTTTATAGAAGAGAACTATATAGTTTAAGGAGATGATTTAACTTGTCCCAAATCCCATAGTGCTCCAAAGCAAAAGTGGAAGGGCCACAAAATCTTACAATTCTACAATGTATTGTCTAATCACCAGACTGCCTCTAACACACTTCTATGGTTTCCCAGGTATTACCTCTCCTTTCTGCATCTCTGTGGTTCCATTACACTCTGCATCATTTTTCAGAGCTATGTTTTTTCTCAAATTACCAAAATCTCACAGAAAGTACCTGGAGCTCAGCAAGAATGCATTAGGACAGGAAGTCAATTATTAATTAATGGCAATAATACCATCACTAATTATTCTAAGTCACAGGATACAGTGCTCGAAACGTGCTAAGAGGATATCAATGCATATTACTTTAGTGTTAATAGCTTAGTACATCTTACAGGTATTTTTAAATGGTGGTGAGGGATCCCCTAGATTCCTGACATTACACATAAATTACTTCAAATATTTCAGTAAATGAAACTGACAGTTATAACACAAATAAAGTTATACAGGCTAGTTTAAACTCGGTTACTTTGTTTTAGCTCAGTGTATCAACTCAGAAAATTGTTATGTTGATTAGAAGGTACTGAGTTTGCACAATCACCCTGCCATGGAGTTTGTTTATTTTACAAGTGTGCCAAAGAGAAACTTATTTTAGCTCTAATTTTCTCTACCTACAGGAAATGGGAACTGTAATACAGTGGAAGAGCATCAGAAGACTAATATTCAAAAGAGGTTACAGTCCTGCTCTGAAGTACCACTGTTTATCCTCCAATCTCTGAATCTGTTTCTTCCTCTAGAAAATGAAAAGCACTACAGAACAAGGGTATGCAACAAAAAGAGGAATAATATATACTAAGATGCCAATGTTTTATTATTAATAACCAAGTGTTAAAAATTAACTGGCCTGGGCCACGCATCGTAACTTGTGATTATAATTTCAGCTACTAGGGAGGCTGAGGCAGAAAGAGCTTTCTTTTGAGGCCAGAGGGGGGCAATGTGGCCAGCCCACATCTCAAACAAAAACAAAACACTAACTAGGCTGGGACGCGGCTCACTGGTAGAGTACTTTCTAATAGTGCATAAGACCTTGGGTCCAATGTCAAGTACTGCATAAGTAAATTAAATGCCCTAAGAAAAAGGATGGAGCTAATTATCTCTGCCCTTAAAAAAAAAAAAAAAAAAGCATGGTGGTTCACACCTATAATCCCAGAATTTGGGAGCCTGAAGCAAGAGGACTGTTGCCATTTCAAGACCAGCCTAGGCTACAAAGTGAACTCAAAGCCAGCCTAAACTGTGTAATGAGACCTTTCTAAATAAATACATTTAAAGCCGGACGTGGTGGCTCATGCCTGTAATCCCAGCACTCGGGAGGCTGAGGCAGGAGGATCATTGCAAGTTCAAGACGTTGCAAGTTCGAGACCAGCCTGGGCCACAAAGTGAGCTCAAGGCCAGCCTGAACTGCATAGCGAGACCCTGTCTCAAAAAAAGACAAATAAATAAATACATTTAAAAAAAATTTTAAAGTGATTAATCTGATAGCAACCTATCTACCTCTTCTATGCCAAATGATAATCAAAGCCATATAGCCCCTCAAATTCTAATTTGTTTGCTTTTCAAACGTGCAATATGAAAGTAAATAAAATAATTATATACTTCTTAGATGCAGCTGAACCACCATGTATTGTCACATACACTGACATTAGGAAAATATATCAAGTTTTCCAATCACATGAATATAAGATAGTATAAACTGACCTCCTCCTGCTAACTATGTATGGTTGTTTATCTTAAGAAAGAATTGCATTAATATTCATCTGAATTGTTCCACTAGAAAGAGGGCTATTTTGGCCCCTGTGTGGAAAGCAGACCATACAGATAAATGTATAAGCATGGGGCCAGTATGCAGACTACTCAGTCATCAGGTGAAACACAAGCCAGATGAACTCTGACAACCTACCATAGACACAAGATAGGTAATCTACTGAAGCTGGGGAAAAGTCAGAAATTGAAAATGTTACTAATGCTAACAGATTTCTAAGAGCTAACTAACATGGACCACTGCATTATGGTACATATACTACAGTTTTTTCTGGCCCT